TGAAAAGCAGCTTTTCTGCCTTTTATGAGATTTATACCCCCAGTAAAATTTTTTTTATTGTTTAAAAAAAAAAATAAACATTTTTAAAATTAATTATTCTTTTAAATATAGCTAGAAAAAAAAATATATATTTCATTAAAAATCATTTTCAATAATTTTTGTAATAAAATATCCAGTAGGGTGAGTATTGCAAAAATTAGTGTAAATTTTATATATTTTATAATAGTTAAATTTACTTACTCAATATTATTGGTTGGAAATGTTTACTGTGGCGTAGCATTTTTTGATCAAAATCAATTTCTTATCCCGTAAGGTGATTTCTTAGCCCCCATTTCTCGATTCAATAACTGAAACGATAATCAACTTATTTGTTATTTAAATCATGTTTAATAAATTTAGTATTAAGAAAATATTCTATTGATAAAAGAATTGCTTATATAATAAATGTTTAAACAATAGTTGAAAAAGTAATAAATTTTATCAAGATGTTAGAAGTTGGTAGGATAGTTGTTTGGTTATTGTTTTTTTAAATATTCAGGGTAGATTGTCGTTAAGGAATCGGGTTTGTTTGGTAAGCTTGTTATTTGAGTTTCAGAATAGTTAAGATAAGTTAAAGAGTTTGGTAATGTTGGTAAGCTTGTTATTTGAGTTTTAGAGCAATAGAGTACGTATAAGGAGTTAGGTAATGTTGGTATGATTGTTATTTGAGTTTCAGAACAGTCAAGATAAATTAAGGAGTTAGGTAATGTTGGTAAGCTTGTTATTCGAGTAAAACAGCAAAAGAGTTCCGTTAAGGAGTTAGGTAATGTTGGTAAGATTGTTATTTGAGTTACAGAGCAATCGAGTTCCATTAAGAAGTTCGGTAATTTTGTTGGTAATCTTGTTATTTGAGTTTCATAGCAATGGAGTATCGTTAAGGAGTTTGGTAATGTTGGTAAGCTTGTTATTTCAGTTTCATGGCAATCCAGCTCCTTTAAGGAGTCAGGCAATGTTGGTAAGCTTGTTATTTGAGTTTCATAGCAATGGAGTTTCGTTAAGGAGTTTGGTAAAGTTGGTAAGCTTGTTATTTGAGTTTCAGAACAGTTAAGAAAAGTTAAAGAGTTTGGTAATGTTGGTAAGCTTGTTATTTGAGTTACACGGCAACCGAATTCCGTTAAGGAATTAGGTAATGTTGGTAAGCTTGTTATTTGAGTTTCATGGCAAAAGAGTTTCTTTAAGGAGTTAGGTAATGTTGGTAAGCTTGTTATTTGAGTTTCACGGCAATCGAGTTTCGATAAGGAGTTTGGTAATGTTGGTAAGCTTGTTATTTGAGTTTCAGAACAGTTAAGATAAGTTAAAGAGTTTGGTAATGTTGGTAAGCTTATTATTTGGGAATTATTACAATACAGACTTGTCAATTTTCGATATCTTTGCAAACCGCCAAAGGTGTTCAATATGTCATCCTTATTAGCATCTGATATGGTTATACTTTCAATAGTATCATCATAAATAATTAACGTTAATTCAAGATTACTGATTCTCTTTTCTAATTCATTAATAATTTCTTGCTTTTTTTCGGACACTACTTCTTGTTCTCTAATTTTTTTTTCTAAATTATTAATATTGGCTATGGTTTCTTCATCTCGCTCTCTAACTTTTTCTTCTAAATATTTGAATTGTGAACGTAACCCTTCGTTACTTTGCTCCAATTCCTTAATTTTCGTTTCCAAGTCATTTAAGGATTTTTCTAAATTGTTTTGTAAAACCATTTTTTTTTTTTTTTTTTTTTTTTTTTTGACTGACTGGTAGTTATTTAAATGAGTATTTGCATACAAAATTGCCTCAGCCCTCGGTTTAAATTTTTCCGAAATATTTCCCTTAAATAATCTAGTCTACTCGGATAACTTAAAAAAGGATCTAACCGATTCTTGTTTACCAAATAAAGTTAGCTGCTTTCTGAAAATCGAAAATCAAATTGAGTTAGCTTCTTTTGAAATTCGCAATTCTACAAAACTTCCAAAAGAACGAAATGATGAACTAATACAATGGAGAAATAAGGCTATAAATTACCATTATGTAAGCATCCCGATTTTCGTAGTAAAACTTATTAAAATTAGATGAGAAGAATAAAAGAAAAAATTGTATATAATCTCGGACGAGAGTCGATAAATGTGGCAAATAATAATTTAAATCAGTTTCTTTTGATATTCTGCGTAAATACATTATATTGAATAATTGGAATTGGAAATAGAAATTACTGCGCCTACTTAGGAGACTAATTAAATAACAACTTAGGGAGGCCTGAAGTAGTGCTCCGTAAGGGTCGGTTCAGGTCGGGTTTAAGGCATATTCGAACTCGAACCCACCCGTTAATAATTACAGAACCCGTATTCGATTCGACTCGATTTTTGTATTGTTTAACTCGTATTCAACTCGAATTTTCAAGGGTAATTTTAATGCCGAAAATAATAAATAAAGTGTTTATTATTTTTTATTGTGAGCATTAATCCTAATTCTTTTTTTTTTTTACATCCTTTTTCACCGGGATTTAAGTACATAAGGCGCGAATTGTATTATCTTTAAGATCACCTCTTTTGGTTGATATCAGATCGGTTCCGCCAGAAAAAAATGTATCAGTTGATGTTTAATAATCGATAATTTTTTTTTTTTTTACCTGTAATTGTTAACTCCGCAATGCTTTTCGTTTTTAGAAACAGTTCTACTATCGGTAACGTCGACATTATTTATTTGTTACAAATTAAATTAAAGTCGGGTAACATAAACAAAAAAAAAAGTAAATCAGATCTGGGGTCAAGCAAAAACGTGACTCTGACCGACAGGTTTTTTTGAATTAGGAGAAAAAATTGGATCGGGTCAAACAACCCGGGCACTAAGCATATCGACCTTCACTGCACCACACGCTGTCAAACCATTTTGGAAGCGAACAAACTCAAAAGAGGAACCTAAAAAGCGCAAAATTCGAAATAAATATAAGAAATCATTCAGTCACTGTGCCCAGTAGCAATCGAAAGTAATACCTAAATAAAAAATAATTATTAAAAAAAAAAAAATAAAAACCTTACCTCAGCAGATCGAACTGCTCCTCCGAAAAGAAAATAAAATTAGAATAAACAATAAAAAAATGAGAAAAAAGAAAGAACCTACCAATCAAATATTGGAAAAATCAAACCATCGCTGGAGCCTGAAGTTTCAAAGGCTAAAAAAACCAGAAAATACTTAAAATATATTACCTAATACTTGCAAAAAGGCAAGAAATTAAATATTCGATCTAAGCGACTGAATGAACACGAAACCAAACAAAAAAAAAAATAAATAAATAAATCTGAATCGCGCAAATGATCCGATCTTAAGAGGGAAAAAAGGGCGCAAGATTTTTTTTGGAAAAGTCGTTGGCCCTGAAGTAGGGTTTGGAATTAATCGCAACACATTTACGACAATTTCCATTAATTTCTATGATTAGTCATCCAATCGTATTTCCGTCAAAAAAAAGAAAATAAGAAAAAAAATTTTTTTGATAATGAGTTAGAGTTGTATAAATATAAAAGTTTTCAGGTAAATTATTTGCAAATTTCTTATTTTAAAGATAAAAATTTCCTTTTCATACAATATAAATTATAGTATTTGTCATGAACGAACAACAGTGTCTATTGCAGGTTAAGCAAATATTTAGTGATATTACCCGCTTACTAATTGTTCGCCCGTGATGTTTCATATTGATATTTTACCGGATGTTGAATTTTCCGTGAAAATATCAACATGACGCAATTACCGTGATATATCAAACGAAAATCGTACCGCAAATTATTTAATATATTTTATTTAATAAGCTTGATATAAAAAAAGCACTTTTTAAAAATATTACATTATTACAAGCATTTATGATATGATTATACTGTAAATAAAAATTATTTAAAGCAATAGTTAACATTTTGAAAGTGACAATTATTAAACATCGGAGCCTTGCTACTATTATTGAAAGGCATATTAATTTGTAAATCTTGTTATCTTTTACAGAAACTTTGTTTCCTTAATATGCAGTAACTGCATAGTACCTATTAGGCTGTACTCTAAGTAAGGTAGTAACTATATATTTAAAGTCACTTTGCAGTTACTGCGTATTAAGGAGTCCAGGTTTCTGTAAAGTAATTTGTAACGGTTTCTTATTGTAATCTTGAATTTGTTGCACAGGAATAAATTTCCCTTTTCAATGTCAGTATTTTAGGTTTTAAACATGGATTATTTAAAAGTTCACGAGCAGTATTAAATTTTACGGTCTTCTTGAATTCATTTTTTAAGAAATGTAAAAAAAAAATTATTGATGATGTAAAAAACAGTATTTTTACGTCACAATAACATGTGACTTATATAATTCATGTGATTTTTCTTATCACAGGTAATCGGGAATAATAGTTATTCAATGATTGATTTCCCGCCGTAGTAAATAAAAAATTTTTTTTCAAATTTTCGTTTTACATAATTTGCCTAGCTGAAATAAAAAATACGTACTAAATCTAAAGATAAATAATTACGCTAACGCTATCTTAACCATTCTGAAGAAAAGTTCGCATATTCCGCGATGATAATTTAATTTTTTATTATTTTTGTTTTCACTTTTTTTTGCAAAAGTCTAATTAGGTAGCCGTTACTTTAAATTTTACCTGATATAAAATCCAAATTTTCAAAACGGAGTATTAAAATATACCCGGAAAAGAATTATATTTTTGAGGGAGTAATTGAAACATCAAGGATTTTGATGGTTACTGCTACCCGTTAAAACATTTGCCACCCGTCAAAACTTAAATTTCTTTTAGATAATTTTTTTTATTTGTAGTAATAGATAAATGTAAAATAAAATAAAAAATTTTATGAGTGATATTGAATGCCTGCTGACATTTTTCCTCGGAGGTTATGAACAAGGGCGGGCGTTACCACTTACTCTCACACTTTGGAGAAATTGAGCACATAGATTGATAAGCGACTACCACCTAGACCCCACAATTTGATAACTAACATGGGTTGGGTACCATTATCTGGAACGTCATAATCTGTATATTATCTATACTATGGAACATTGGGATGTTTTACAAGTAATTTTCCCACGGAATGTGGGAATTCACCTCGTTAAGAAACTTATTGTTATAACAAGTATCAATATATTGCACGTTAGGAGTCGTACTCGACTGGGAAATCTCACTCACTATCCACAGCGACAATACTCAAAAGAAGTTACAATTATTTAATTTCTGAACCTTTTATATTGTATTATACACGTGAATTAAATAAATATGATTTTTTACTTCTTTTAAAAATAAGTTAACATTATAACGTTAGCAGTAAATTTTTTAAACTAATAAACAATCGACGATTTCTGTTTTTATCCGAAAATTGCCTTTTTTTAACACGGGTTGTATGAACATCTAGTAATGTGACAAATATAAACTTATTATCACGGTATATGGGTTATCCCTGATCGATAAATAAGCTCAAAATGTAATTCGGATTTATTATCAATGAAATACTTTTTGTAAATATTCGGTCAGCTCTTTTAAGGATGTCTGTAGCATCTTGCTTGTCTAATGAAAGAACTCCACATAAATATATCTATCAAAAAAAAAAAAATTAAAATTTAAGATATCTTTTATGTTAAAATTATGTACAATAACAATTTAACTTACTTCAAAATTATTTGAAAGATTTCCGATTAAAATTTGCTAATCTTAAATGAGTCAAGACGAAATCAGTATTTTTTTTTTTATTTGAAGTCAAGGTTCGTCGTAAATACGAAGAACGATAGCATAAAATATTCATGTGCGCACAGAATATTTTACATTAGGATCTCCGTTAACTTCGATTTGAATTATTAGTTCGACATTTTCCTAAAAATCTTCTCAAATGATGATCTTGGTTGTAGAAGTTGTGAAAATCAATTAAAAATAATTTTTTTTTTTTTTTAAACTTGAAGGTATAGCCACCTCTGTGTGGTTTCAGGAGAAACTAATCTATATCTGCTTAAGAGCAAGCATACATGAATAAGCGAGAATTTTTGTTGTGTTTAACATTGAAGTATCTTTAAATAAGAAGAAATTTTATTATATATTTTTATTTTTTGTGCATTTAGCATCCGTTCAACAATTAAATGTTTCAAAGTTTCGGCAGAAATATTAAAGGTTCGGATGAGATAAACGAAGTATGATTTTTTAAAATTGTAACTATTGCATTCCGAGAGCTTATTTGCTAACATTATGGGGAACTAGACATTCAACCCCGAACCCCGTTAATGTATTTAAATGAATTGGCTTGGTATTTTATGGTTCCGGCTAAGCGGTATGAATCAATTTGATTAGAAATGTTATGTAGAACTTAATCAGCAAATTTTCAATTAGCCTGAGCAGGATTTTGAGTTGTCGTATCGATTACTATGATTTGGAATATGATTAAAAAATAAAATTCTGTATAAATGAAGAAATACTTATTGTAAAAAGCAGTAGTTAAAATCATGATTCAACTCTATAAAGAATATACAGGCTGGACAGTATGGTGTAGTGACTCTTACAGGAAGGGTTTTTGAATTGAAACGGGAAGATAGTTTTTATTAGAAACAACTAGCTACGGGACTTCTTCCTTTTAATCCACAGCGTTAGATGGTTTGTAACTTAATGCTTTCCATTCTTTTGTATTTGTATTTTAAGCAGAAATATTTTGCTTAATATTGATAAAGGTGATTCTATAATCCACAATTGGGAAGACTCTAACAAATATCTACTGTGTACTGTGCCTATTATTGGAAACTAGTCAGGTACAATTACTATTTAAAAATTTTTTCAACGTCATTGATTTCAAGTTAAGCCTAAATTATATTATGTGATAGCAAACTTTTAGAAAGGTAATTTTTTTTTAAAAAAATTTGTTTTACAATTATTTCATGCCACATCAACCGCTAGTAAAAATATTGTTATATTATCTAACCAAATTAATCAATTTCTATTTTAATGTGTTAGTATGTCTTATAAAAAACTTAGAATATCTATATAATTCGTGGTTGTTTGTTTAATTTTATCTTACAATTATCTTTTTTTATTAAATAAAAATGTTTTTTAATATTTTTATAAAACAATTTATATATGGAAATTGATATCCTTTCATCAAGAGTTCTTAAATTATTTCATAGTGAAGAAAAAGTCAGAGCTATTTGATGTGATGTCATATTGCTAAATAAAATGTTAAAAGTTCATTTGAAAGAACTGAAATGAATTATATTAATTTTTATTATCATTTTCATTTTAAGTGTAAAAATGTTTATACATTCATTTGAAAAGAATAATTGATAAATTTTGGACGCTACCCTATAAAAAAGAATGTCAAAAATTTAACAGGTAAATGTATTGAAATAATAATGTACAAATTCTGAATATTTCCATTGTTTGTAATATGTTCCAAATCTTAGTGGTTTCTGAACATTCATTTTGTCTGAAAAATGTTGTTTTCTGAATTTCAATGTTTGATTTCTTTAGAATGCAAAATTGGACATTTTCCGGATATTTTTCAGATAATTTCCAGACATAATCCTATTTTTCAGATATTTTCCAGACATAATTATATTTTTTCAAATGTATTCCATTTTTCTGAATATTTTAGACATTTTCACTATTCATAATATCAAATTTATAACTTAATAATTTATTAATATTTAATTTAAAATTATTTTAATTTA